GACAACGGTGCGGGGAGGGGCACAAAAGAAACGAGTCCGGTACCAACTTGACTGCAGACCCTGAGTGGTCGGATACCGCACGACATTTTGCAAGAGACCTTGGCACTTTCACATTTCTCAAGCCACACCAAGGGTCTAACCAACAAGTCCCAACACCGCCACGCAGCTGAGACGTTATGGCATTGTAAGTCATTTTTTAGCAACATGACAGCAGTGGAAATGCTGAAGCTACTTTCGAGCCCCAAACCCTGAACCCTAAATCCAAAAACCCTGATAACCCTAAACCCGCGAACAGAGAAGTTGTGTCAGAAGCCTCGTCGATGATGAGAAATTGAAGCCTGCGCCGTCGACTCTAAGGGCGCGCGCTTGACGATTTACGGTCTGCCGCTCGACGGTCGTGGGGTCCCATTGTTAGGGTTTAGGTTTAGGGTTTAGGGTTTGCCTAAACTCTGTAGATTTGGTGCTCTGAAGTCCAAGTGCAACCTAAACCCTCAGCCCTGACACACTAATATAGAAGCCTCAATAACTATAGTTATCATAAAGATCCCCAAAATAGTATTGGGAATTATTCAGGCCCCAATACCAGACATTAAACCCAATGTGCTTCAAGGAAGCCGGTGGATTCGTGAAGGCTCTAAGGCAGCCTTGAGGAAACACTGAAACCACATACACGGTGGCAAGTGAAAATGCAGGCCCGAAGCCTCTGTCCAACTCAACGCTGGGCGACTCTGCCTTCTTGCCAACGTTTTATACTGCAATGTTATTCCGGAGTGCTAAGGAATAGCTATGGAAAGTTATTCGGGTAACCCAAAACAAGCCCTGAACCTTGAACTCGAACCCATTTAATTACAGTAGAAGCCAGAAAGTTGGAACATGGCTTTAGGAGGATTAGTGCTCGGATCCCTTATACTGTACCTTAAGGGAATGAGGAGAATGATGTTCCAACTTTCTGGCTTCTACTGTATATGAACTCTAAAGCCTCAACGCCGAGTCAAGATTCACGGGATCGGCCCTTGCTGGGGACCCCGCGCCAAGAACTGGCGCGCTTGCGCCGGCAGCTGATACTGCTTTGCCTTGACAGGGCGATGAAGTGGGGTGGAGGGGGGGGGGGGGGTTACTTAAAGGATCATGTGGGACTTAGTAACTCGGGTTATAATGAGGGTAACTATCCTTATAACTACTTATAACCCCATTTAAGGTACTTAAAGCCTTACTTGCTAAGTCCCATGATCCTCCAAGTAGGTTTCAGTGTTTAGGCTTAATAATAGGGTTCATTGTTTAGAGTCTAGGGTTTATAAGGTTTTAAGAATGCTTAGGGCTTGAGGATATAGTTCTGTCCTCCGGCGTTGCACAAGCTATGCTCTAGCATGTGCGAGCCTATCTATCGATCCGGCTATGTTTCGCTTCCGATAACTACAAATCAAACAACTACTGCATGTCATGCTGGAGTTGGACGAGAGTGTCCGGCAGTGAACATTCAGCAAAACAGACCTGACTGCCTCGTTCTGGTCCCGCATTTGACTACCCAGATCATGGAAACATGGAAAGCCGTCCATGACTCCAACAAACCTGACACTCAAATGCCAAAAGACCCCGCAAACCCGTATACCGTATACCGACAATCCTGAAACCCCAGGCCCCCTCAACCCCGAAACCCTGTTCAACCCCTTCAAACGGTGTAAAGTCCTTGCTAGAATCTGCTAGAAAACCTTTCATTAAAACTCAAACCCCCAAGTCCAAATTGCTCCCGCGGCCTCCAGCAACAGCGACGGAATCATGCCTGGTGCTTGGAGAGGAACTGGGTTTTATACCGGGATTCGCAAAAGGTTTAGAAAATTGTCTATCGTGGAGGCGTGTGTTGCGGGTCTAGGATCTAGGGTTTCGGGGTCAGGGGCCCAGATTGTATTTCGGTCCTATTTCTGAAACTTGTATATTCGGCTGCTGCTGGGTCTATGGTAGAGTAGGTATACTGGTGACTGCATATCTGCAGTGGTATTCTGGGGATGCGGCGGCAATACCCACGGTCTGCATGCAACGATATATAAACTAAACTATGGGAATTATGGTATATTCCTTGTTATGGGTAATGCAGGATTTATATCCCTAAACCCTAAACCCTATCAGATCCCTTAAAGGAACCCCTACAGGTACCCTTCCTATAGAAACTTCGTTACACCTGCTAACTCCACAGCTCGAAGCCTTTCAAAGCCCTAAAAGCTTCAATCTCCCTAACTCCACTCTAGAAAATATGAATTCTGAACCTGAATCCCTATATATCTGGAGGATCATGGGTTATAAGTACCTTCATTGGTAATACTGGTAGTTATAAGTATAGTTACCCTGATTATAACCCTATAGTTACTAAGTCCCATGATCCTTCAACTTAAAGGCCCTGAGCGGAACACCTCAAACCCTACAGTAGAAGCCAGAAAGTTGGAATATCATTATCGTAACCCCTTTAAGGTAAATTATAGGGGATCCTACCATTAATCCATATTCCAACTTTCTGGAGTTCCCTTTAAGAGCCCAGCCCCAGAGAGTCCCAAACTCTCCGCTGAGATCCCGGGCTCGGCCGGATCTCCAAAAGGAGGGACTCGAGGGCAAAGGCCTCATGGTCTGGTTTAGGGTTCGGGGTTTTAGGGTTTTAGGGTTTAGGGTTCGGGGTTTTAGGGTTTTAGGGTTTAGGGTTTAGGGTTCGGGGTTTTAGGGTTTTAGGGTTTAGGGTTCGGGGTTTTAGGGTTTATAGGGTTTCAAGTATGAGGTTTAGGCGGGTTTGGGGATGTTGGTAGCTGTTTTGGGCGGCTGGGTTTGGGATATCGGGTTTTTGAGGGTTTTGGCTCTGTTTCGTTCGGTTAGGGGTTTGAGGTCTAGGGTTTGGGATTGTGGATGTATATTACAGGGTTTAGGGTTTAGGGTTTAGGGTTTAGGGTTTAGGGTTTAGGGTTAGGGTTTGGGGTTCAGGGTTTTGGAGTTACCGTTGTACGTGTGTTAGTGTGCGTGGGAGACCATTTGCCATTGGGCTGTGGGTTTCCAGATTCACGGTCTGTGTAGGGTTTTGGGGACTGCAGGGATCCGACTAAGAACTAGGATGCCTGTATTCGGAAACAAGAGCAGTGTAATGCAGCAAGAATATTAACACAGTGCCATGAACATGAGACCTAGTCCGTGTCTAAACGAAATGCCATACGGATGCAACGGCATGCCATGCTAAAACAAAGACATTTTGACTATTTGCAATTATTAAAGCCGAATCGCAAAACAACGCATGTCGTCTTGAGGTTCTACCCTTTCGTAGCGCTCGATACATCATGACAATGCGCAGAGTACGGACAACCACGTAGACACAGGAATCACCTACCAAAACATAGAAACAGAATAAAGCAGCTACGCAACGTGACAGCCACGTGTTACAAGCCTGTAGGTGGCCCGCCGGTTCAGCAAACAACAAGCACGTGACATTATGACAAAGCCCTAGGCAAAACGTTACGGCAAAGTATGATGAGACGAGGAGCAGGAAGTAATCAGATCGCATCAGCTTACGATCTTACAGCAACATGCACGTATGCTTGCAGGCCAATGACCGAACACCGTTGGTATCGTACCGCACCACAACAGCGTTTGGGACGACGTGCACGTCCTGCACCGAGAACGAGAACTATGACACGAGGAGCACAGACTGTGCATGCCTGACATATGGGAGTTTCCGAAAATTAGAGGTACCTTATTTTGGGGTCCTTACAATACTGATCCTACTATTTAGGGTAATTTTCGGAATCTCCCATATAAAGCGAAGCCACAACATGCTTCATGCCAACCTCTACACACGGAACACGGGACGAAACAAAACATGGAACAGCGACGAAGTCCACGCAATTAAGTCAGTTAAAGGTATGTAATCACGGATAGCACATGTTCAACATTTGTCTGCAACACCAGCCGTGAAAACAGGAGGAAGATTCGAGATGTTAGCAGCCCGCCAGGACTCGCAGGACTTGTTCGTCCAAGCCAATCCTGACAGCCTGTGGCGCTTTCGCCACACAGCCACTTTTGAAGCTGCGATCTCGATTGCCAATGGTCTGTCAAAGCGGCGGGATGTCAAGTAAACAGGCGTCGCGATTATGACATAGTCACAAAACAAGTTAGCATAACAGAATATGATACACTGTAGTATGAAAAAGTGGCTCCTGGGTGCACTGTTTCCTAGTTGCAAATGAAGGATTATGCCAGCCTGAAAGACTGGCTGCGACGAGTCCAAGCCAAAGCTAGTATGCTGCATGCACCATATTTGCATGATCAACACTCTGTGCATTCAAAACCACGGGAATGTGGGAAGAGAAAGCTGTACCTAGAGTCTCCATTGTAGTTCCTTTTTTTGGTTAACCAGTTTTATGGTTAGGATCCCATAATAGAGTTTTTGGTTATCCAAAAAAAGGAACTACAATGGAGACTATAGGTAGAGGCCGTTCCATGGCAGTATCCGACTGTCAACAGATTTTCCGTTGAGGCAGCAACACCATCAGGCACAGTTGGTGCTGGCAGCCGCATCGTGCGAATGTAGGCATGGTTTGGCATGACAAGTCAAGTGCAAATATGCATGTCAACATCTACATCTGTAGGGGTACAAGCAAGAAAAGAGAGGCAGGTGCCACCCATGTGGCGCACCGATGGCGGATGCTGCTTTGTACTGCTTGGCGAAAAGAAACTCATGGGAAAGTGAAAGTGTGGCTGTGGCAATCGCAATAAATTGAAATGCGTCTGTGCCTTCGCTTGTGGCCTCAAGGGGCAGAGGGCAGACGTTGCTGTCTCATTACTAAATAGTGTTTTTTGCAGTTACTGTTGTGTTTCTCAACCAACCAGTCCAAATTAGTCTTACAATCTGTCCAAACAACTGGCTCTTGAAATCTCGAGATTTTATTTGCACAGCCACAGCTCAATACTAATTCGGAGCCCAACGCTCTAACATCTTCAAGAAAAAGAGTTTGTAGCCGATCGAAGTCCTCTTAATCTGCTCGAATGAGAGGTCCCATGTAGTCATACGGAGTCCGTCCACGGCTGTCCCGCTGCGCGGGGTCTGCACCGAAGAACAGGAGTAGGCGAACCATGTGCCAGTCTCTCTCTTTTGCGGCGATGTGAAGCGGATAAGTTCGGCACAGCCCGAAGCAAGACTTCTTTGCCACATTGACATCGAAGCTGTCAGTGGGAATGCCATGGCCTTGCAGGAAATCGTGCACTTCAGTCTTGGCCTTCTGAAGGTTTGACTGCTGTATGTGGATTTGATGAGACCTTCTGCTTCTTTCCTGCTCTTGCTTCCATTTCCACCCGGCCAGTCGCTCTGCGCTGCACTGCACTGTTTCGTCTTCTTCCAGCACCTTACAGCGCCCACCGCGTTGATGGAAAGAGTGGCTGCACAAAGCCATGAGGAGAGCTGTGACTACATACGGGAGCCAGATAGCTTCGTCGTGGTTGCGACTTTACCACCAAACCAAACCTAAACGCTGAACACCGAACCCCGAACATGCCTAACCCGAAGCACCATCAAGAGTTCATCTGAGCCCTACAAGCCTTAAAGCACCCACTTTGTCGCAGAGAGAACGGGCGGCAGTTTCTGATAGACTAGGTTCCGTAAAGGTGCAAGATCTCGCCTGCGAACGCCGTTGGAACGGTTGGGTTCGGCATATGCAGAGCCAGACAGAGAACTTCTCTCGCCTTGCTTCCCTACGCAATGATGGCATAAATTTCTACTACAGATACCGATGACATCGGGTGCCAATGACAAGCTTGAGCACCGGATAAACATAGCATGCAGTCCGCTCTAGATTACTGGCCATAGGTTTGGCTATGTGATCTTATGACAAGCTGTGCCCCTCTTAGCCACTAGCGATTGTCGTCGTGGCTAGCCATGAAAGCAGCCAAATGGTATTCCGGTATCGGTATCTGCATGTATGGAGCACCATATTCGAAAGGAAGATGTGCACCACAACAACAGTTTCGGAGTCTAGGGGGGGCTACTGACTACGATGGATGCAAGGAATGTAGGATGGAACTACATCGTCGGATGACGTAGGCCATTGTCGCGTCTCTCCGGCGCTGGGGGCGGGTCAAGACGAACAGTGCACTGAAGTGTTCTTCTGTCGGACGCAGAAGAACCCCCAATGGCAATTATAGTTGTCATGACAGCAACAGCAGTATATCAGCATTGATAGAAAGAAGCAGCAGCAGCAAGCAGCAAGACGAGGAGGAGGATGAGGGATAGCAGTAGCAGCAAGTGTGTAGTAGTAGCAGGAGAAGGAGGAAGAGCAGGAGCAGCAGCAGCAACAGCCGCGATAGGTTTTTGCGCTTGTAACTACTAAGATACTCTCCGCACTCGTGAGCAAATCGGCAAGGCGTTGGTGCTCAATCTGCCGGGCTTGAGGCCTTTCAAAGGGGACTTTCCGAAAATAGGGGACCCTAAAACAGAAACCCTAAATGGTAGGATCCTTTTTCTCAGGACCCCAAAATGTGGTACCCCTAACTTCCGGAAACTCCCAAAGGGATCCTCAGTTCCGGGCCATGAGCACGGGAGGCAGCTTGCAGGAGTGGCAGAGCTGCAGGAGTTGCAAGAGCCTGGAACCCGGGGATGCAGAGCAGAAGGCGGCCATCCCATCCCGAGCTTTCCAGTGAAAGTGTCCAAGCCTGCGATGATGCTGCTTCCGCTGATGATGATGGGCAGGAGCAGGAGCAGGAGGAGGAGGAGGAGGAGGAGCAGGAGCAGGAGCAGGAGCAGGAGGAGGAGGAGGAGGAGGTCGAGGGTGGCGAGGATGAGGATGATGCTGCTGGTGGTCCAGCAGATGATGGCGACGACGATGATGGTGATGCTGCTGATGGCGATGTCGATCACAATGATGATGATGACAATGATTGTCCCGGTGGCTACATATGCCATTGCCAATGGAACTACTTCAACTTTTCTTGGACGACAAATCTCGCCGCACCTCTCCGCATCTTTCTGGAAGCTACCTGGGACGATGCATTCGCAGGCGACTTGGGGTTTGCAGCATCTTGAATACTCGGTTGGCACCCCAGGTTCCGGTCTCCGATTCCTCCATCCGTCGCTTACAGCTCTGCGTAATTACTATCCGTGAGAAGGCATATACAGAAGTTCTTGCAGCTACTTATGTAACACAGGGTTGTGCTCATCAACCGTACAGGTCAAAAGCAGTTTCATTAGTGCCAAGCTCTATACCAGAAACCCCAAATGACACATCATGAACATCCTGGGCGATGTCCTGCAAGTGCCAGAGCGCAGTCGATGCTGATACACATGCTTGAAACAGCCTACATGCATAGAGACATACATGCATACATACATACAAACATACATAAATGAATACATAGGTATATGTGTGCATAAGTATGTACACGTATGTATGTATATATATATATATATATATATGTATGTATACATACATATTTATGTACATATGCACACACTATCTAGATGAATACATACGGAGGTTGGGGGGGTGGAAATACACATAATGGTGTATGGTTTACGGTGCTAGGAGTTGCGGTGTTAAGGTTTAGGATCTAGCATATGTCAGCGGATAATGCAATGAACAAGTAAGTATGTCCACACACATATATATATATATATATATTTATACACATACACATGCGCACTTACTTATTAATTGTTAATTCGTTCGTATTGCTTTCACTTCTTTCTACACACATAGACATATAAGGGAGAAACAGAAAGAGGGTGATGGGGGAGAGCGATGGAGGGAGGGAGGGAGAGAGAGAGAGAGAGAGAGAGAGAGAGGGACAGAGAGAGAGCGAGCGAGAGAGATAGAGAGAGAGAGAGAGAGAGAGAGCGAGAGGGAGAGAGAGAGAGAGAGAGAGAGAGAGAGAGACAGAGAGAGAGAGAGAGAGAGAGACAGAGACAGAGACAGAGACAGAGACAGAGACAGAGACAGAGACAGAGAGAGAGAGAAAGAGAAAGAGAAAGAGAAAGAGAAAGAGAAACAGATAGAGAAAGAGAAAGAGAAAGAGGACGAGGAAGAGAAAGAGAAAGAGAAAGAGAAAAAGAAAGAGAAAGAGAAAAAGAAAGATAAAGAGAGAGAGAGAGAGAGAGAGAAAGAAAGAGAAAGAGAAAGAGAAAGAGAAAGAGAGAGAGAGAGAGAGACAGAGAGAGAGAGACATAGAGAGAGAGAGAGAGAGAGGGAGCGAGAGGGAGCGAGAGGGAAAGGGAGCGATGGACATACATAAATTGCCACAACTCGCCACACCCACCCCGGCTCCAGTTGTTCTTTTCACAAGTAACCTTATGCAGCTTTCGCGAGCTTGAATGCCAGCCAAGCTGCAGCCCTCTAAATCACCAGTATAGAGGTAGCCCAGTGCATAGGTCACGACCTGACAGGGGTTTCGGTTCAAACATCGAGCCCTGATATAGAATGCCCGCTTCTTGCAGAGGACCCGGAGGCCACTTGGGGCGTTTCTTTCTGCGACAATCATAAAGGTGTGCATGAGGGCTTCGAAGTTCAAGGGCCCTTTTCCCGGCACGCAAAGCTGGATGGACAAGAATGCTACACTCTAACCGAAGCCTACATCCTGAATCCTCTGCTTTGTACTGCCCCCACCCTGTAGCAGTCTGCTCTAGGGGTCATATTAAGGGCTTTGTTATAAACATATAAACATATATGTATATATATATATGTATATAGTAAACACCTTCTAACTGTTATTGTTACAGAGTGGGGGGAGTACCCAAGCTCTGGGATTGAAGGACCACTCACTGAATAAAAGAGGCACGATGTGCTGCGACTGGGGCTTTGCGTCAATGGCAGCAAGGGAAGATTCGTTTCGGGACGCCCTAATAAGCCCTTGAGGCCAGGTAAACCCTATAAGCCCAAGAAGCCCAGTAACCCGGCACAAAACGCTTTCACCATCGTATGAAGACGCTTTTAACTAAAAAGCTCCAAAGTTCTCGAAAGATCCTTTCCCTCCCTACCAAACTCCTGGAAAATCTATGAGCCTTCCGAAGGGGGATGATGCGAGTGCTTTCGCGAAACCTTGAAACATAGTGTGAACCCATGACACTCCAGGCCTATCCGATGAATCGTGCTCGTCTAGATTAGAGCATAAGGTTCCTGGCTTGGCGTACAAACATTCGCTCACGAGACCCTTGCAAAGCTCGCGCTAGGTTCGATAACCAATGCTTAGACCGGTACCTCCACGCTGGGGCACTCCACCTGCAGTACCTGCACAGATGGGCTGTTGTTTACAAATGGAAACTGCTGCTAGGGGTAAACCCTTCGGCAAGTGCACCTAACTATGGAGCAATATGTCCTTTTTGCAGGGCGGGATCCTCAACACATGGCCAGACTACATGGGTAAGGCAAGGTAAGACCGAATAGGATTCAGTTACATCAGTAAAACTTAGTGGTCAAGAGATACAAGCACAAGCCAACACAAATAACGACTGGTGAGACTACGCTGCGAAGTAACCGAGCAAGATGCGACACGACTGTATGAAGTACACGACACCGGCAGATGTGGCAGGATTTAGATTAGGCTAGGTGCACCTAGCGCAAGCACAGAAGCTACTAAGAAAACAAAAAGTGAAGCGAACAGTTTGTAAACATCATGTGAAGGTGAGGATGATGATGATGATGACCATGATGAGAAGTGAGAATTTGAGACGAACAACGCTGGAATAGCATGTTAACTAGAACATGCCACAATGACAGGATAGGATGTCCTGTCACCTACGGTGGCAGGACATCATATAAAGGTCTTAGTAATTACCTGTATTATTTTGGGGCTTAGGATAATAAAAGTATCATGGGCCCCAACACCCTATTCTTATTGTTAAGGCCTCTATATTCAAGTTTAAGCCTGAGGCCCTGCACTTCAACACCACATCACAAACACCTCAGCAAACCGTAGACCTTGATAGGACCCTCTGGAACCATCCAAAACCCTGCACCCTAAACCCTTAGAGAACCCATAAGGCTGCAAGTTTGTGAGAAAATCTTGTCATCGGCTTCTGGAATCCCTGTAGTAGGCCCCCTAAAGAAACACCTCTAAACCCTCAAATCCTAATCCCAAAACCCCCCAAGTCCTAAACCCTCAACCCTAAGCCCCCAAATCCAAAGCCCTATCAGCCCTAAACCCTCAACCCTAAGCCCTGAGACCTAAGCCTCTAAGCCCTAACAGCCCTAAACCCTCAACCCTAAGACCTCAAACTTAAGCCTCTAAGCCTCTAAGCCCCATCAGCCCTAAAGCCTAAGCCCTCAAACAAAAAGCCCCTAAGCCTCTAAGCCCTATCAGGGTTTAGGGTTTAGGGTTTAGGGTTTAAGCCTCAACCCTGAACCTTCTATCCGGTCAGCCTGAAGCTCGGAGTCCCCTTGCGTGCCGCGCTCCCTGCGCTTCTTTC